ATAACCTTGCTAGCATGTTAAATGAATGCAAATGTACCGTAGTTGGAGCATTCTTTGGCACTGCCCTTCTTTGGGATTGGGATGTAGACTGATCTTTTCCAATCCTCTGGCCCCTGCGGAGTTTTCCAAACTCAGTGGCATATTGAATGTAGCACCTTAACAGCGTCATCTTTTAAGATGAATTCGCCCATTCCCATCCATTTTAGTTCACTGATGCCTAAGATGTCAATGCTTATTCTTGTCATCTCCTGTTTGACCACATCCAGCTTACCAAGATTCATAGATCTTACTTTCCAGGTTCCTATGCAGTATTTTTCTTTGCAGCATCAGACTTTCCTTTCACTTCCAGGCGCATCCGCAGCCAAATGTCCTTTCGGCTTTGGCCCAACCACTTCATTAGCTCTGGAGCTACTTGTACTCATCTTCCGCTCTTCTTCAGTAGCATGTTGGACACCTTCCAAGCTGAGGGGCTCATCTTCCAACGTCATATATTTTAGCCTTTTGTTTCTGTCCATGGAGTTTTCTTGGCAGGGATACTGGAGTGGTTTGCCAGTTCCTGCTTCAGGTGTATTGTGCTTAGTCAGAACTCTCCACTATGACCTGTTCATCTTGGGTGTCCCTGCATGGTATAGCCCATAGTTTATCTGAATTACTCAAGCCCCTTCGCCACAACAAGGCAGCAATCCATGAAGGGGAAAGTTTCTTAGATACTTCTTAAGTACTTTCCACATTTGGGGAAATTATGGCGCTCCTAATTGTATTTTATGGTGCAGAGCTGTTTCCCCACATTCTCTCTCTCCTAGCATTGACTTCACAAATTAGAAAAGTTACTTTTTTAAACTATAAGACTTACAATTCTTCAGCCAGTTGGGTATGTAGTTAAAAAAAGCTGCTTTTCCAACCTCAGCTGCAGTCCTAGGGATTTCTGTGGTTGCCAGTCTGCCTTCCTCCCTTCTCCCTCTCTAGGTTGTCAGTGCCAACAAAGCAGAGCCTTTTCCTAACTGCTACAGCTATTCTTCAGAAAATGTCTGCATTCTGTATTTGGATGGAGTCGAGGATGCTGTTAATGCACCAGCCTCACAAATTCCTGCAAGAGAAATGAAGCATTTCATTGTCCTTTAAGCAGAGTCCAGTAGTCTTGATTTGCAACACAACAGGCGAAACATATGTTACTGTCAGATTGCATGGCAAGGTTCCACAAAGCGTCCCCACTCCCCCACCCCCAAACTTTCTTCCACTCACAGCTCAAATTTTGCATTTTGATGTCGCAAGGAACTCACAAGGTCATTTCCTTGAGGAGTCATAGAGAAAACAAAATAACATAGTCAGCGTAAGCAACCCTCACTTCCGGTTGCCCCTTGAACGCTAGCAAGAGTTGGGCAAAGTGATCTACTGCTGTAGTATCTCATTATTTCTTCTTTAAAAGAAAGAAAAGACCTTATTATTGGCTGTCCTCCAGTGTATGCAGGCTGGTTCGGAGAGGAAGCAGAAGCACAAACCAGCAGCTGTTTTGCAGTTCTGAGGTGGGAGCCCCATTCAAAAAAGGAAGAAAAAGAAGCTGTTGACTTTCCTGAATTATAGAGCTAAACCATAGAATGGTGGGAGGTCTCTTCTGCTAGCAGTGAATGAGTCTATTTGCATTATTCAGCCCTTCTAAATACATGTGTAACTTTACTCGTTGAAATTATTGAAAGCAAAGGATTAGGCTAAACAGAGACATATCATTTCTGCCATACCTAGCTTTCCGAAGACTAGGGAATTTCACTTTCTAAGATGCAGCAACATAGAAACATCTCAATGTGAGTGGAAAGCAAAATGATAATTAATGTTAATTAATATTTCATTGGGATCAAGGAAGGCTACCTCCGAAGACCCTTAAGAAATCTATCTGTTGCTTCTCACAAGGAAAATGGTTCTATAGTCATCTGGATGCAAGCCCAACTGTATTCAGGGAGAATGGGGTATGGACATTTATGTGTTGTTATGTGCCATCAAGTAGCCTCTGACTTCTGGCAACCCTATGAATGAGTGCTCTCCAAAATGTCCTAATCATAGTTGCCCTGCTCAGCTCTTGTAGACTCAAGATTGTGGCTTCTTTTTGGGAGTCAGTTCATCTCATATTTGGTCTTCCTCTTTGTCTGCTGCCTTCCACCTTTCCCAGCCTTTTCCAAAGAATCTAGTCTTCTCATGATATACCCAAAAGAAGACAGGCTCAATTAGATCATTTTTGCCTCCAGAAATAGTTCAGGTTTGATGTGCTCTAGGACCCACTTGTTTGTCTTTCTGGCAGTCCAGGGTATTCCCAAAGCTCTCCTCCAGCACCGTATTTCAAACAAATCATTTTTCCCCATGTCCACGTTCTTAACTGTCCAGCTTTCACACTCATACAGCAGGACTACAAGAGTGTGAATGATCTTGGTCTTCAATGATACATCCTTACACTTGATGATCTTTTCTAATTCCTTCATTGCTTCAATTCTGAGTCTCAGATTTCTAATTTCTTGGCTGCAGTCTCCATTTGGATTGACGACTGAACCAAGGTATAGAAAATCTCTATTTCAATTTTTAAATTGTCAACACTAAATTTGTGCAACTTACTGGTGCAAACTATCCACTTTTATATGGATTACAAGATATGAGTTTCAGGTTAGTGAAGGGATTTGATCTTTTTATGAATCAATGTACAATCTTACTTTGAGCATTGGCCACTACTGTGTGCTTTATATTATGGTACCTGGTGTGGAAATTTATCTCATTATAATTCCATGTTGGGGGTTTTACAAATATTTATATGTATGTGTACAAATAATATTTATGTACAAATATTTGTTGATCTATCAGTTATAAACACACACACTCACAGACAACATGACGCCAAACTGTCATTGCATAACCAAATACTTCATAGTCTTTTACTTCCTTGAGCATCTTGGGTCTTGCATCAATTGCAATATTCAGAAAAGTTGCAACATTTACAACAAAGGGCTATTCCTGATGTGGGTGAATGGTTAAATTCTATCGTAAAATGTTCCTTGATTGCTTTACTGCTGGCTGTTTTAGTATAGTTTCTTATTAACTAATACTCTCCTATGAGGTACGTGGTGGCACTGCGGACTAAACCGCAGAAGCCTGTGCTGCAGGGTCAGAAGACCAAGC